TGTGTGTGGGGGAGAGAGAGAGAGAGAGAGAGAGAGAGAGAGAAGGAGAGAGAGAGAATGCCAAAAGAACCTCCTTGACTGAGCCAACAGCAGGAGCACATTTTCAGTGATTCCCTGATGGTGGACGAGATAAGGAGTGTGCAGCCTGCCACATGCCCCAAAGTTAGGCAACTTCTGGGAAAATTTAGAAAAACATTATAAATTGGCGCACTTGACGCGTAATGAAGAGCCTTAAGAAGAGTGATTAGTTAGAATCAAGATCTAGTAACTACATTAATACAGCTGCCTGGTCCCCTGGAGGAAGGGCCTTTGCAGAGCTGGGCCCAGGGCCTGGGAGAGCCGACTCAGGGCCCACATGGGCATCGCTGGCCGGAGGCCTGTGGCCTGCTGAGGCTCCAGCGCGCCTGCCCTCCTGCCTCAGGTTCCAGCGCGCCCGCCCTCCTGCCTCAGGCTCCAGCACAGGCTTGGTTCTGGATGATGCCGTAGAGACCCCCTCGGACAGAACCCATTTCTCCATGTGTTGATGGAGTTCCCCAGTCAAATTTTAAACTTCTGAGCTTTAACTGGGTGTTTCTATGAATGAACAACCTGCTATTACCTGTAACTCCATTGGTGACTGTAAACGTTGTGTGGTCACACGTGTATCCCGTTGTCACTCGGAGCATGTTGGCAGGGCTCTGTCTAACCCCGGGTTCCCTACACAACTCTGCGGGCTGTTAGTTCTGAGGAGCTGCTGAGTGACACTGTCCCATTCAGCACCTACAGGGGAAATCAGTAGAGCTTGTCTCTGGAGGTACCAATTCCCGACGGCCAGAGAGCCGGCCTGTGAAGTTTGGCTTGTCCCCAAAAGCAGGGGTGACGTCATGCTCCTCCTCACCCAACTGAGGACCTGACCGGGGGCACGGTTGTGTGGGGGCAGCTTGCAAGGCTTCCGTGTCGTTATCCTGTGTGTCTGTGTGTCCTGCCCTTGGGAACAGTTTTCAATGTTTCTCATATTAAAAAGAATCACAAATTAATCTCCCTGGTATTTATATGTTCTCCATAACTGGAGTATGTGAGGCTGATATGGTTCCTGCCGATGCAGACAATAGTGGGAACAGTGCATACATGTTGGAGGTGGGGCCCCCAGCTAACTGTTGTGTAACCTACAGGCAGAGCCTTACTACCCACTGTCACCCCAAGAGCCCCCCCCCCCAAAAAAAAACCCAAAAAACAGAACGTTGGTGCCTGAGGCTCCTGGGAGAAAATGAAAGGGTAGGAATGGTAAATAACAGTGAAAGAAAGTACAGTTGATGCTGTTGTCTGCGTTTCATTTGACAGTTTGATTTGACAGTTTGAGACACACTTCTGAGTTCCACTCTCTACCCAGTTGAGACTGTGGGGACTCCTGAAGCAGAAATCTGGTATTCACCACGCTGTGCTTCACAGAGCAGCTCTCGCTCTCGGCCCCCTAAATCTGCATGCTTTTCTCAGACTTCTGACGCCAGCGGCCAGCTCTCAGCTGCTTCTCGGTGCAGGTCTCCTGTACCTGCTGCCACCCTCTTGGCCAGCCGAGCACCCCCTTGGGAAGCTTCCCCAGCCTGCCACACTGCCTTCCTTCGCAGACAACAGCTGGCGAGTGCATAGGAGGGCTCTTGGAGTTCTCTTGATAAATGTTTTTTTTTTCCACTTCTGTGAAAAAGCTTTTTTTTTTTTTTTTTTTTTTGTGAGTGACAGCATAAGATGGGTACCTTTGTGAAGGTCTTTGTTCTCTTTCTCCAACTACTTTCCCAGAGAAGGCATTTTTATCAGCAAGACAGTGTAGCGTCAGCTAGCCTTTGGGATAAGAGAAGAGAATTCTATTGGGTAGGTTTTGGTTTAAGACAGGCCTGCTGGTTTGGATTGCACTTGCATTTCTCCGGCTGGTCCTTAGCCAGAGGAAAGGACAGTGCATTTGCCCAGGGGGCTATTTGTCTGTCCCATTGGGCTCCTCCCAGCCTGGGGGATCAGAGGACGCCACCTTGTGGCCGAAAAGGGAACGACAAGAAACCTGGTTCCCATGGAATTTGACTCTGAGGAGCCATGAATGCAAACAGAGTGCTTTCGGCTCAGGGGGATTATGCTTCCTTCCCGGGTTCTCTGGGAATGATTTGGGCTTAATTTAAGACAGACAAAACTGTTTCAATCGTGTTGCTTCTGTTTAAAGTAAGTCTAGTTTCTGTCCCTGCTTCTCTCCCCCTCTCCTGCCTCCCCGCCGCCTGCCTTTGCTCCCTCTGACTAGGTCCAAGGCCATGGTATGTACTAACTGCCTGCGATGCTCTGTCCCACTGCACACGTTCTCCACAGGAAGAGAAGAGGAGAAATAACGGGATGGCTGGTGGTTTCTTCTACCGGCAGAAATTCTGGGGTAGAAAAAACTGAAGGCTGCCTCTCGCGTGGTCCGTGTTCTTGCAAAGGGCGGCTGGGGGCCGGAAGCTTGTGGAAGGGCGACACTAAGTATCTGGTTTGGCTTTTCCACAGTTTCCTCTGCTCGGTCACTGACATTGTCCTTGGAAATTACCGATGCTCCGCCTGAGCTCGGAAGGGCCCATGGACCGCTGACACCGAGGGCAAGCCCCTTGATGATTCGGATTTCTCCAGGCCTCTTTATAATTTCAGTCCGAGTGCTGAAGGAATCGGGGGTACATTCCCCCTTCTCCCGAGGCAGTTAGGTTACAAAACGCCTTCTGATGGCCCTGCCTTTTAGCTAGGTGCCTGAGAGCTGCCTGGGTCTCGCTGGACAAACAAGAAATCCTCAAAATGAGACAGAGGAGGGAAAGTCTCCCCGCCCAGGGTAGGGCCAGAAAGCAAGGCGATTTCTTACCGTTTGTGGCTGTCTCTTGAGCAGATTAGGAATGTCGGGGTGAGAGGAGGTAAAGCAGAGCAGGTGAGGGATGTGGAGGATCTGAAACGGGTGCTATGGCGGCATCGGTCCCCAGGCCTTCCGTGGCGTAAGCAGCCACGCGAGGTGTAAGGGGATTACTTATTTGTATTTCCACCTGTGATGGAGAGCTTTCCGGAGAAAGGTTCACGGTCAAAGCCCTAACCTTCTCCTAGGGTTTGCTTATGGGACCAGATTCCTTTGGGCTCCAGGTCTGGGCCCGGGGAAGAAACACTCAGAACTCAGGTGCAGCTCGGAGCTAGAAGAGTCCCCGCAGACAACAGGCAGGGCGCAGGGACACCCAGTGAGCCGCAGGGACACCCAGTGAGCCGCAGGGGCAGGGGAGGGGCCCGAGCCAGCTTGGTGCGTAGGCTTCTGCTAGGAGAGGCCTGCGGTTATTTCTCCTCCTCTGTCCCTGAGCCCTGCATGCTCGTCGTGCGCTGTCGTGGTCGCCGCGCCCTGGCCTGCAGGCTAACGCGCTGTCCCGCTGGTCTCTCCGCAGAACACGGCTCTAGATAAGGAGGGCCAGATCTTCTGCAGCAAACACGGTCAGGACGGCGGCCGGTCCGGCACGGAGCTCGCCTCTCCAGTTCCTCCCTCCGCCCAGGAGCCCCCTGGTGCCCCGGAAT